AGCAGCAGCAGCAGCACGAGCAGCAGCTGCTGCAGCAGCTGCTGCAGCAGCTGCAGCAGCAGCAGCAGCAAGAGCAGCAGTAGACTAGAGTAGCACCTGCTCTGCTGCATCATGTGTGACGTTTGTGGGGGCGTGCTGCAGCAGCCCCAGCAGCCACCAAGGATGGGGGTGTACGAGAGGAGAAGCAAAAGGAGACAGTCTCCTTATTTCTTCTATAAGGGTTTCATCACTATAACTAGCGTCAAACACATGCAGCGGTACATACACCCCAGTGCGCTGCAGCAGCTCCTGCTGCAGCTGCTTCCATTGCCGCTGCTGCAGCTGCTGCAGCGGTGATTGTTGCGCCTGCAGCAGCAGCAGCTGCTGCTGCTGCTGTTGCTGCTGCTGTCGCACCTTAAAGCACCAGAAGGTTGTAGGGCCACCTGCTGCAGCAGCAAGTGCTGCTGCTAGGTGCTGCTGCAGCGCAGCAGCAGCATGACGCTTCCATATGCCTCTCTTGAGGCCAGTATAGAAGAGATCAAAGACAAAGAGTCCCCCCAATAGGCTGAGGGGCAGCAGCAGCAGCACGGGGAGCAGCAGCAGCAGCAGCAGCAGCAGCAGCCGTGTCACCGCCTCATTCCCCCAGCAAAAGAGATTCATAACACGCTCAAGAAAGGAGACAGCACGCCACACACAGTCTAGCAGTCTCTCTGCTGCTCCTCTCAGTTCTCTATAAGTTGCAAATACATCCAAGCTGCTGCTGCTGCTGCTGCTGCTGCTGTTGCTGCTGCTGCTGCTGCTGCTGCCAACCTTCTTCTTACTGCTGCTCCTGCTGTGCACGCTGCTGTCGCGCGAATGCTGCATCTCACACCCTTCTGCTGCTGCTGCTGCTGCTGCTGCTGCGCTTGCAGCCGTCTCCCCCGCAATCGCGCTCTTTCCTGCAGCAGCAGCAGCAGCAGCTGCTGCTGCTGCTGCTGCTGATGGGGCTGAGCAACGTAGAGAGTGGATGCGGCCTCCTGTGAGGCGATGAATTCGAGCTGCATTGGCAGCAGCAGCAGCAGCTGCAGCAGCAGCCGCTGCTGCTGCTGCTTCTGCTGCTGCACGCCCCCTAAGAACCCGAATGTAGCAGGCAGCACACACAGTCGTGGGGTAGTTGGCAGCAGCAGCAGCAGCAGCAGCAGCAGCTGTCTGTACACCTGAAGCAGATGCAGAGCAACGGCTCTGCAGCAGCTGCTGCAGCAGCGAGGCGGCGGAAGGTATGCTGGTGGTTTTTGCTGATGCTGCAGCAGCAGCAGCAGCATCAAGCGTGCTGCTGAGGGACCCATGGAGAAGTGCCGGTCGGACCGAAGCATTGTCTTCCTCTGCCTCTACTGCTGCTGCTGCTGCTGCTGCTGCTGTTGCTGCTGCTGCTGCTGCTGCTGCTTCTCTGATTGCCCGTGAGGATAGATCGCCCCCACAGAGAGCGCAGAAGGAGACAGGGGGGGGAACGACCCAAAGGGGCAGCCTGCGGGGGGACCAGCACCACCACCGCCGCTTCTGCTGCTGCTGCTGCTGCTGCTGCTGCTGCTGCTGCTGCTGCTGCTGCTGGAGCCAGAGAGCCTCTTCAGCACGATGGAGACGGCACACGGCTTGCTCGGTTTGCTGCTGCTGCAGCTGCTGCGGTGTCAGGTGCTGCTGCTCTCGCTGCAGCACAACCAAGGCAGCAGCAGCTGGGTTTATCTGCTGCAGAGGATGCACGTCCAGCTCTGCCTGCTGCTGTTGCTGCTGCTGCTGTTGCTGCTGTTGCTGCTGTTGCTGCTGCTGCTGCTGCTGCTCAAGCTTTCCATCTCGGTAAAAAGCGAAAGACAGTCTCCGCCCCGTTGTCTGTTTTTTCTGCTGCTGTTGCTGCTGCTGCCGTTGTTGATGTTGTGTCTGCTGCTGCTGCTCATGCTGCTGCTGCTGCTGCTGCTGCTGCTGCTCTGCAATGGAGGGAGCGGCGAAGGGCCCCTTCATGTCGGGGACCCCCAGCAGCTCAAACCAAAAGCCCCGCAGCCCGCCCCCGCTGCTGCCGTCTGCAGCAGCAGCAGCAGCAGCAGCAGGAGGGGCAGCAGCAGCAGCAGCAGCAACAGGAGCAGGAGGAGTAGGAGGTGCTGCTGCTGTTGAGGGCATTGCTGCTCTAGCTGCTGCTGCAGCAAGCGAATCAGCATCAATGCTGCTGCCGGATGCAGGGGAAGCTGCTGGTTCTGCTGCTGCTGCTTCTGCTGCTGCAGCTTCTGGAGTCGTCGCCTCGACGTCTGCTGCTGCTGCTGTTGCGTTTGCTGCTGCAGGTGCTGCTGCTGCTGCTCCTTCTGCTGCTGAAGGTGCAGCACAAGGGGCAAGCCCCTGCTCGCTTTCGGTCTGTTGCTGTCTTCCATTTGCTGCTGCTGGTGTTGCTGCTGTTGCTGTTGCTGTTGTTGCTGTTGCTGCTGCTGCTTCTGTTGCTGTTGCCTCATTTGCTGTTTTCCGCTCTTCCTCTGCTGCTGCTGCATCTGCTGCTGCAGCA